GAATATTATCATTTCAATTGTTGTACGAAGAACGCACTCTGAAGATGTCATGGTTTTACTCATGACAGAAAGAAAGAGAGATAATCCTTTAAGTTTAGGATAAGCAGTACTCAGTCAGGAAGTACTACGTCAGCAAGCGCTTCATTAGTTTTACTTGTTATCTCATGAGAAAGGCACATAATCCGCTGTAAGTACTTATTAAGGAAATACTGCGGTGGAGTAAATACTAGGTGCAGCTCTTACTAAGGAAGTGCTCCCGATCACATAATAATATCACAGCACTTGATTCTATTCTGTATTTATAGCGGTATTTACGTGTGATGAAAGTTAAGCAAGAACTATTAAAAACAAGGGTATTTTCGTCATACTCGACGGAACTTTCGTCATCAAAATGTGAATTTTCGTCACAGCCACAAAAACCACTCCGAAATTCACGGGAACTTTCGTCACCATGCTTTTTTCTGAAAAACGCACTGTCGTCACATGTGACGATTCTATTGTATCTATGTTTGCTCTCAGTTTCAAATCTAGGTATTTAAACGAAGATGGTGGAAATTTACGTTATATCTGACTAATAATTAAACTTTTTGAAGTAGGTTTTTTTAGGAGATTTTGAATCAATTACTGTACTTTAGAAGATATGTCGTCGACATACCTTTAGTGAACATCAGGTATAGAGTGAACGCTTGAATTCAGAATCACTCAAAATGACTACTATCGTTTTCAAAATATCATTCCCCTGATTTTAGAAAATCGTTGAGCTGAAAAACTGTTTCTTAATTTTTGCGATAACATAACCCATGAACAAACAACGAAAAAAATCAAAACTGTTGAACTGAAACCGATCGGAAAAATATTGAGTCAGTTTGTAGAAAATTCTACAAGCTTTAAGATCAGATAAAAAATTATCAAGTTTTTCTGAACCATTTTAAACCACATCAGAAAAATATTAATTAATCATAATTAATAAGTTGCATAAATTCCTGCTTTTACAACACGACAGACATTACATAAGACAAGAAGTTAGGGCGATATACTAACTAGCAATGATTCTACTTGAAAGTCTGTTAATATGTCGAGAACAAAAATACTCAATCAACGGGGTGCAGAACCTAGTAAAACTTGTTAGCACACTGACAAGAATACCATTATTGAGTTTCGCATACTTTTGTCTTTAAGTATGCGCAATCTTATTTTTCTTTCGCTCTTCACATATTTTCAATCCGTTCTGCTTTGTATGTGTGACGAAGCATGAGTACGCTGATATACTCGTGTTGTTAAAGAAAAAAAAACACCTTTGGCTTTTTTTTTCGAGTAAGCACTAAAAAAAGAGCAGTCGGATTGTTTTTAAACTTTTCCTCGATACCGGTAAGGTGAAGCTGAAACAGTATAAAAATGCGTCGAAAACGAGAAAAATTCCTCTTCTAATTGTCTTTTGTTCTCTATTTATTACACATTTTTTTAAAACGAAAATAGCTTTTCGTCCATGATAACATTTCCAGAGTTAAAGAAACGAAGTATCTTATATGATATACTTGTTCATTAATTTCTTATTTTTATAGATAGCAGTTGGAACAGAGAAGCATGTTTACCAAATTTCTCAAGTATCTATCTATCTTTGTTTTATTATTGAGTATATCCGTTTCGATCTACTATCAATCGACAAATACTACCTATTTAAAAATTCGTTTTTTTCATCAACTATTTACCTGGAAATATCAGTTTCTACCATCGAATGATACACGAAATTTGTCCCATGAATATAAAGCATTTGAAACACTATTAAGGAGGAGAACCATTGCTGACTTCAATGAAACACATGATCCACTTGTTGCCATTCAAGAAATTAGAAAAATATTTAATTTAAAAGAAGTTATTCCAAAATCGTCGAAATGTCGTGTGACAAAACAACAATATTCATCTAATAATCATGTGATTGATGGTTATTGGGTAAATTGGGATGGACGAGAAAGAGAAATAATCAACTCAGAAAATATTATTCTCTATTTTCATGGTGGTGCCTATATGAGTGGTGATATTGATTCATACAGTGGATGGGAATGTCACTTATCTCAAGTATTCAACTGCTCTGTCCTACATCTCGAATATCGACTTGTGCCAGAATTTCCTTTACCAGCAGCTGTTGATGATTCAGTAGCGCTGTATGAAGCTCTTCTCAAACAAGATTCTAGTATACATAAACGAATCATCGGAATGGGTGATTCCGCTGGTGGAGGTTTGTGGCTACTTACTCTACAAGCATTAGTTAATAAAGCAATTCCTGTTCCTCGAGGAGTCATAGCCATATCACCTTGGACTGATTTAACTTTTAGTGGTCCAAGTTATACAAAAAATAAAGATTTAGACGCAATGTTAAAATATGATCGACTATCGTGGAGTATTGAGCAAGTACTTGGTGGAAAAAAATTGATTGAAGCATCGAAACTCCAAGCTAACAATCCAATATTTAGTCCGTTATTTGGTTCATTCGACGGATTTCCACCCATTTATTTGACAGTAGGTACAGGAGAATTGTTAGAAAGTGATTCGATAATGGTTCACGAGAAGGCGAAAGAAGCTCAAGTAGATGCGACGTTGGAAGTAGGTGAACATTTAGCGCACGTTTATCCAATCTTTTATTTGTATTTTCCAGAAGCAAGACAAACAATAGAGAACATTCGTCAATGGGTAATGAACAAAGTCTAAAACTCACGTTGATCTTAGTTATGAGACTATGATACTCGATAGTGGTTGTAATGTGCATGTCGTCCTTTTATCACTTTTTATATTTTTGTCATTAAAAGTTTTTTTTCTTGACAAAAGCGAGTTTTGAAATACAGATTTGCAGGTGTAAGTTACGTCATTGTCTAAAGCAGCTGAACGTGGATTACAGTCTCATAACAAAATTCGTAGCTTTATATTTATTTTCGGTTTAAGAGATATTGTAACACAATCAATTTAAAATCAAAACAAATCCATCTTAAACAGGTGAAAATATCTCGATGATTCTATTCACATTCTCTCCAAAAATTCGGAGTGCCTCTTCTAATCAGTTTGAAGAAGGAACTAGCTCCTGATTTGTTAATCATTGATTAGTCAGTTTGTGTCCAGAAATGGAACGGTGCTGAGTTAGTTAGCTAGCTAAGCAACTGTTGGATCATTCCACCATTTTAAATGGCTTTAAAGAAAAAAAATGATTTTGATATTTAAGCTGGACTCTGTTTATTGTATTCTGGATGGGGTTTACTCAATAAATTTGTTTTAAATTGTTTTAGTTACAGAAAAGCTCGATATAATTTGAGCGAACAACGGGTTGGTAGCGATAAACAGAATTAGGGATGTTCGGTTCTTGGTTCTCAGTAAGAACCGGAATCGCAGTTCTCTTATTTTTGGTTCTTCATCGAGAATCGGAACCGCACTACTGGTTCTGACGATGGAACCGAAACCGCAGTTTCTTAGACGGTTTCTTTTTTCGCAACCGAGACTCTTTGACTTGCCTTTCTGTTAACAAAATAAAAACTCATTATTGACAAAGGTACAAAATGATATATTTGCCTGTCATCATTCAACAGCATCCATGCGGTTACTACCCTAGTGAAAAACTTACTCGCGTCTTACTAAGATCTTAGAAAAATCTTGTGAAGATCTTAGTAAGATTTCGCTCACATTTAAGATCTTAAACAAATCTTACTAAGATCGTGAGACCCGAAAATTCTAAGATTTGACAAGGTTTTTCTAAGGTCTTAGACAAATGTAGGTATGTTACAAACCCAAGCCACTTGGATGTATAGACTTGGGTTTAGGGTATCCAAGTCTAGATTTGGGTATTGGGTTTGTCCTTGGTCAGTTGTCAAATTCTTAGTTTAATGCGCATCTGAAGCCAACATCGACAGTTAAAACTGTTGTGAATCCATTATTTTTCTTCTTTTCTATTGATGGAATATATATAATTCTTTTTAGGTTTTAGTCATGATAAACAAAGGGGATGGTCTTCTGTTTTGTATTTTGCTTTCTAAGTCCTCAGACGGTCCATAGAGAATGGTTTTCTGTTCTATCCCCAGAATTTACCATACAATGGCAGGATCCTATCATATACAATCATACCATGAACGAACAGTTCATTCAAAGTTGTCTTTGAACGTGTTTTTCTGATATAAAATCCAATTTTGCTGGTCTACCAAAAAAAAGGAAAATTTTCATCTTTTCGCCTTGTCATTGGAAACACAATGAATTTATCGGACTTTCTCTGTTTGGATGTAACAGAAGAATTAATCTACTTTAAGATAAGACATATCTCAAAATATTTGATTTTGGCCGATTTATAAGAATTTTCGCAAATGTCACGAAAACTGCAGTTTGAAAACGGCGGCTTTTGATAAAATCGATATAAGCAAAAATTTCTCCTGCAACGAATTACGATTATCAAGAGTTTCAAACACAGCCAATTGATAAAGCTTTTCAAGTGCTACAAAACGGTCATCTTTTCTTATTCTGTAACACAAAATACAACGAGCTAGAATTGAAAGTAATGGAAATTCACACTATTTTCACCTATCTTCCTTTATTTCTGCGGTATATAAAAAAATGTTCAATGTGTAAGGAATCTATCTGAATATCTTCTTTTGAAGTGGTTAAGTGTTTCTCCTCAGATTGAGGGCTGAGCAATATTTTGCGAGTATCAGCGTGAATTTGTTATTCTTGCTCAGTTAACTCGAAGGATATGTTTCTTTGAAAGTCAATCATCAGTGGTTAATGATAGGGTGATTCTTTGGAGAACGTACCGCGTTTACATAGACCACGTCCAAATTGTTCGAGAGCAAGAAGACTAATACAACTCGAGCTCCTGATGACGAATATCACGTTTGAAAAATTTTAAAACAACGGTATGATGGTCTTCTAGATCTGTGGAACTCCCATTTCTCAGCAGAACAGCCCGTTTATGGTCATTTTCACCATTTTCTAGTGAAACATTTTCATGAGCTGGTACCGTCAGATTAGATATATGTGCAGAGCTACAAAATCACTAGCGGACAAAATGTTCCAAAATGTTAAGTACGTTCTCAGGAAAACTTTTTAAAAAGTCCTTTTTTCCGAAAAGTAGGCCTTTTTTGTAAATCATTTTTTCTCCATAAAAGCATATCAACACAAGATAACATGATATGTATTCGCCCCGTCTTTTCAAGCTCTATCCGATGCAATGGTTAAAATTGAGGTTAGAAAACATTTAATGCACGAAAACAAGAACTT